AATGTCTTCATTTAAACTATAGGTATAAAGAAACAAAATGTTGTGTAAACAAATGCAAACAAAAATATGCACAGTTGCATACAGGTTGAGTAAAATTAAAAACTGATATTAAATTCGCAAACACCGACCCCAAAATCATATAATTTGACCACTTATGAAGTCTTTTACACAAAAATCTAGAAAAATGTTTTAGCTTCGATGCAAGGCAGAGATGCTATTGGTTTTACAATGATGTGGACTTTTTTTTACGTAACACATACACATTTAAACTTAAAATAACATCGAATGATGGGCAGCCACCTCCGTGATTTCGTGTGATAAGTGTCTTAAATTAAGTTTAATATAAAGTTGTTCTACTATGAGAAAAGTCCAATTTTTAAATTAATAATTTTTGATGTTGAAACAATTCCCATCACTTGTATAGTTGTATCCAATTATGGACAAAATATAAATTATAATTGATTTTAAAAAACAACTGGGATGTTTTGGATTAATTGTTTCGGTTTTTATGGACAATATTACTGTGACTATTTTTAAAGTTTTAAGAGTTTAGAGTAAGGTTGGGAGGGGAAGTGCGGTTGGGAAATGCGCGTAGATAAAACTAATACTGCACTTTCCTCCTACAGACTACAAGTTGGTACTTCGGGTGGGTAAAAGTTGAAAAAGTGTACTTCTTAACAATTAAAATTTGAAGAAAAAAAACCATACGAATTTTTAAGTTAGAACTTTTACTCATTTCCCATACCCCTAAGAAGGAGGAAGTATTTTTTTTTTTTTGGATTTTTCAGCCGTAATTTGAGGACCTTTAATTTGAAAATTAGTCAGTTTTTAGGACTCATGAAACAACTGTTTCTCTTTAATTTTTGGAAAACTGTGTTTTCCCACACTTTGTATATTTCAACAAAGACACCTAAAATCTTAATAAGTTTTTTATCAATTCATTACAACATAATAATATAAATAATGATATTTCACCCTTTTAGTCATAAAAATACAAGCAGATCCATTATAAGTTTATAATGACTTGCGTTATAAAGTTTATTTCAACCTTATGTTTACACAAATTGTTAACGATTTATTTTCTTACATTATAATATACAATATTTTTTCAACTATTGCTATAATTTTATTTTCTATCTTATCGAAAACTACTATTACAGAAATATTATAGTTTTTTTTCGTAAACAAGTTAGTTTTAAAAGTAATTTGTTATGACATTTGTGTACTTCAATGTTTGAACTGTTTATTTTCTTGCTTTAAAGAACCATGTATCATAAAAAATATTCAAAATACAAAAAAAAAAAAAAACGTGAAAATAAAAAGCTAAAATATCACAGCACCCAATTTTATTATAAAAGTAATTATAATTTAGGTATTGTACATTATTGGATATCGACAAAAGTAGGAATTACAATCCAATTATTATACAACTATTCGAATATTCAAATATTTAAAAACAATATACAGGGTGATTCTTTTATCATGAATTAATATAGTATGCATTGAACTTGCGTTATACAGTTTATTTCAACCTTATGTTTATACAAATTGTTAACGATTTTTTTCTATCTTATCGAAAACAAGTTGATTTTCACGACAACTTTTTTTAATATAAATTAATGAGCACAACTGTAGGTATCATACATTATTAAGTTTTACTATTATATATTACAAAAACTAATATTACAGAAATATTATAGTTTTTTTTCGTAAACAAGAAGGCTTTAAAAGTATTTTGTTATATTATTTGTGTACTTCAATGTTTGAACTATTTATTTTCTTGCTTTTAAGAACCATGTATCATAGTAAAATACTCAAAATACCCACAAAAAAAAAAACGTGAAAATAAAAAGCTAAAATATCATAGAATCCAATTATATTATAAAAATAATTATAATTTAGGTTTTTTACATTATTTTATATCGATAAAAGTAGGAATTACAATCTAATTCGAAATGTATATTATTTTAAAACTATTCGAATATTCCAATCTTTATAAATAATATAAGTATATTATAAATATATTTATAATTATTGAAACATCACAATGCTACCGTGAAGAAATAAAATAGGTTAAACATTTTATTACAAAAACAACTACAAAACAAAATATATTAAGAAAAACACCTTGTTTTGGATAAAAAAAAAAAAAGTAATAAAAACCATACAAATTGTTTTTGTAAAATACGGAGATTTTTATAATATTCAAAATGTGTGATACCTATAGGAACTTACCATTTGTTTACATTACAACCGTCACTTTGAAAAACACCTTGGTTATGAAAAAAAAAACAACAATACAATATTGGGTTACAATTTACACGATAAATTATTCTACAAAAACTCCTTATGATAAGTTATAATTATAAAACATTTCCAATTTAGGAAAATGCAATACATTAACCGTATGCAAATTTAAAAAATGGGTACTCGCCGCCACAGTTATTATATCAAAAACGTTCTACAATGCTTCAAACACAAGCATCAAAACAAAACTTATTACAAAAAAATAGTTCGTATTTTTATTTGTTTACACTGCCTCAATCGAAAAAGATACCAATTTAATTTCAATTAAATAAAAATATACAAATTGTTTTGTAAAAATTGGCAATTCCTATTATGTTAAAACATAATAGATTATAAACAAATTAAACAAATGCTCTAATTAATGTAAATCTAGACTTTGTACGGTGAATGTAAAAGACGTTATAATTATAATTTAAAATTTACAATAAAAATAAAGTGAAATACAAAAGATAAAAAATATTTTGTTTTATCTTTTGTGTATTTAAATGTTTATACCGTTTATATTGTCGCATTTTATAACCTTTAAGTTACCCTGATAAATTTTTAAATTTGCATTTAATATATATTATAAATAACGAACATAATACTACCACTTTTCCTTATACATCTTGAAATAAGAAACAAAAAATTACAAATAAATTCTACAGTCAACTATGCATCGGAGATCGTATAAAAAATATTCAATTGTATAGGATTTCTGATCGATTTTACTGGCTTTTTGTGTTCTATTTCGGTGGAAATAATTTTATTGTCAGCTTATCTTTTTTTTTTAGAATTTTATAAATTTTCTGAGTCAAAACATTTAATAGATTATACAGGACCTGATGAGTTAATACCCACATCCCGGTGTACAGCTATCAACAACAATCTAATCTACATAAAATTATAATTCAATTGAGAAATTTACATAGAAAGGTCTATGCCTTTCTGCTACACTTCCGTGCTGCTACACTGTTGAGTGTTTTTCAGACACGATTCTAGTTTAAAAAATAACAATTTTCGCTTGCAAATATTTTAGCTGGGCTATGGTATTGTAATCATATGCAACTTATACGAATACACAATCGTTCAGGGTCAACTGCTAAGGGACAATTAAGTGTACATCTTCAGTTGAATTATAATGTCTGATAAATTGTATAACTGGCCAGCGGGGCCAGTTGTAAATACAACAATAATAACTTTTGAAATTAAATGGCGATGTAATAACAAAAATTGCAATGCCTTCATTTAACTGTAGGTGTAAAGAAACGAAATGTTGTGTAAACAAATGCAAACAAAAATATGCTCATTAGATCATCATCCGAAAAATTAAAAGTATAGGATTGTACTAACACAATACATGACTCAGAATGTTTAAAAATCCTTTTGTTACATTTCAGTACACAATTAAAAGAATCTAATCAGTTAATACCCACATCCCGGTGTACAGCTTTCAACAACACTCTAATCTACATAAATTCCATTGAGAAATTTACACAAAAGGGTCAGAAAGGCATCCTTTTATATTGTTTGTGCGTATTCCTCCACCTGCTTTATCACAGTAGTCCGGATTACCACGGACCAGGTAACATGCGTGAAACCGTTATATATATATTTATACATATTGGTTTTTAGTCATTTAAACGTTTAAATCAATAACTTAATTTTTACTCGGCGTTAAACCTCTTTAAGTAAATAATATTGTACGATGCAATTTGAGAGTTTAGTTAATTCACTTAAAGGTACGACCGACCCTTTTGCCCTTTTGGGCGGTTTTATAAAAAGTCTCTAGGGATATTTTATGGTAGATACAGGGTAGCTTCCTGTCCTGGCTAGAGTCCCTTAATTTAGCCCTAGAAGGCGGACAGTCGTGGGCGTGAGCGACTCATCGCACGGCACCGTAACACTATCATATGATTTGTGCACACAGACGTTTTTTTTAACTGTTACACTGTTGATTGTTTTTCAGACAAAAAATAACAATGCCCGCTTGCAAATGTTTTAGCTGGGCTATGGTATTGTAATCATATGCAACTTATACGAATACACAATCGTTTAGGGCCACAGCTTGATCTAGTTATCACAAATGTTCTTAATGTTAAATGTTACTTCTGAAAGTAACTCACTAATACCTTTAGATTATATATATATATCATCCTGCATTAGTAGTTGAATATCTATGTTATTAGTTCTTTCTAGTCTGTGATGTAAAGAATATTACTTATGCAACCTTTGAAATTAAATAGAGATGTAAAAAAAACAAATTGCAATGCCTTCATTAAAACTGAGGGTGTATAGAAACGAAATGTTGTGTAAACAAATGCAACAAAAAATATTCACATAAGTTGATGGCACCCGAAAAATTAAAAGTATTTGAAAAAACTCACTATAATTGTACTAATAGTTAAAATGCAAGACTCAGGATATTAAAAAATATGCACATTAGATCATAATCCGAAAGTTAAAAGTATTAGAAAGAGCTCACTATGATAAATGATTGTACTAACACAGTACAAGATTCAGAATGTTTAAAAATCTTTTCGTTACATCTCGGTACACAATTAAAAAAAAAACAAACTATTAGTACAAATTTTTACTCAGTTCTTAACATTTTCTTAATTTAATAATTTGATTAAAAAAGACCGGATACAATAACTAGACTACATAATTCATATAATATAGTTTTTATTTTAAAAACAAAAAAACAATTTCTTTTACAATCTTAGAGCTTGCTTAATTGGTTTGTTTTGGGCTTTTATAAACAAAAACCGTTCAGTCATGGATTTTACATAGTCTGTTTTGTAAATTTTCCTAGTGATTTCCTCAAATCTTTTTATATCTATGCCCTCTAAAACAGATACAAAAACGAACAAAAGTTATATTATTCCTACTTATTAATTATTATATTGTTATAGAGTGTAAACAGTAGTAATTGCAGAGTAGCCCAGAAACCAACTGTAACAAAACTTGGTGCCTCGAAACCAAGGAAAACTATTATTACACAATAGAGTTAATATATTTTGTGATTACCTCGATTCATTCGTATCAATTCATCGGATGTGAAATTAGCTTTCATAGTTGCACCATTGTCAGGCCAAAGCTTGGTTAATTGGTTCACAAGTACTTTCTGAAGATTAGGACCTACTAAGAGCTCTAATAATTCATCGAAAACGGATTGTATAACCTGAAAAAATGTCAAAGCCTGTCGTTAAAAACGTCTAGGTTAATACAGCGTAATATCTTAAAATCTATGTCGATTTAAGCATTATAACCATAAAAAAGATTTAAAAAAAAAAAATTCAACTATTAGTCAAAAATCTTCTGCGATTATATTACATTCCCATACCTACATTTTTGTAAGTTACTCAATAATTAAGCATTTGTACAATGAAAAAATTGTTACAATAAGGCTATTACAAAAAATAAAAATAATAATTACCAGCTGACCTTAATTGTATTTAAAAATGTTAATACAATATAGTTATATAAATAAAAAAGTATTTAATTTGTGTTCAAACATGATAGTTGTAGTACAAAAATTATTTTTAAAAAATGAATTCATAATGAACCTCTCTAAAATAGCGAGTTGAAAGTAATTAATACATTTTTAAATAATAAATGGTGCCTTATGAATTATGAAAATATTTTTTTATAAAAGTTTTGTACTAAAATTGTCAAGTTTGAAAATTAATATGTGATTTCGTGTGTATTTTAACAATTATTTTATAAAGACATAACAGAGCAATTTGCTTATTACATTAGTTTGCTATTAATAACAATATTTTAAAAAAACAACTACAATTTTTAAGATTTTTTCTGTCTTTGAACACCAAGATACAAATAACAAATACTGTTTTATTTAAATTTTTCCACTATGAGAAAAATACAATTTTTAATTTAATAAATTTTGATGTTCAAAGAATTACCATCACATGTATAGTTGTATCCAATAATGGGCAAAATATAAATTATAATTGATTTAAAAAAACAACTGGGATATTCTGGATTAATTGTTTTGGTTTTTATGGACAATATTACTGTGACTATTTTTAAAGTTTTAAGAATTTAGAGTTAGGATAGGAGGGGAAGTGCGGTTGGGAAATGCGCGTAGATAAAACTAATACTGCACTTTCCTCCTACAGACTACAACACACAATATAATAACCGGATGCTACTAATTTTAGATCACTGTGGGTAATATGTTTGTTATTTATAATAAGTATAAGGGGGACGGAAAGCGTCAAATATTGCGTATCCTTTGCTGATTAATAAATAGCGCTTTCCGTTCCCCTTAAATCCTAATTAAAAAAACCAATTTTTAATTATTGTAACAACAGGGTTTTCATTTTTCTAAATTGGAAAAGTTTCATTATTATAACTTATCATAAGGAGTTTTTGTAAAATCAATAAAAGTAGGAAATACAATCTTATTTGAAATGTATATTACTATACAACTATTCGAATATTCAAATTTTTAAAAATAATATATATATGTATATATATATATATATATATATATATATATATATATATATATATATATATATATATATATATATATATATATATATATATATATGATTAAAACATCAAGGTGCTACTGTAAAGAAATTAAATAGCTTAAACATTTTATTCCAAAAACAACTGCAAAACCAGATATGCTGAGAAAAACAACTCGTTTGTGATAAAAAAAAAAATAAATGGACGGCATGAGAAACTTAGTATTTGCTTACATTACAACTAATAGACAAAATACAGAATCAGAATGTTTAAAAATCTTTTCGTTATTTTTCGGTATATAATTTTAAAAAAAATGAATTATTATTAATTAATTAACATAAGTTTTTAATAAACATAATTTTATGTGATCTAAAAAATTAAAAGTATTAGATTTAGTTAAGGGCTGGATATACAATAACTAGAATACATATTTTATATACTATAGTTTTATTGAAAAAAAAAAAATTTTGCTTTACCGTTTGGCATATAACATGTTTATTAGCCTCTATCATCTTTTGATTTAGGTTCTGCATAAACGATAACCGTTGATTCATACATGGTTCATAGTCTTGGTCATTGCTTTTACAAAATTCCCAGTTAGTTTTCCCAAAGTGTTCTACACTTATGCCTTCTAAAACAATACAAAAACGAATAATTATAATATACATATTACATTGTTGTAGAGTGTGTGGGTACAGTAGTTGCAGAGTTGGCTAGAAACCAACTGTATAAAATTTGGTGCCTCGAAACCAATGAAAACGAATATTATACGATAAAGGTAATATATTTTATAATTACCTTTTTCAATGGTGGCAATATCCGCTGGAGATAAATAATGTTCTATATTATAACCTGTGTCACTCCAAAGCACGTGTAATGCATGCGCAGAAAGATTCTCTTCAGTAACAAGTTTGAAAAACTTTCTTAATTCGTTGTACACGTTTAGTGTTAGCGGATAATACCTCGAAAGCTGTCATTAAAAATGACTAGGTTAACACAACGCGTTATTTGTAAGTTTATATCGATTTGTGCGTTAAAAGCACTAACATGAATTTGAAAAAAAATTCTACTATTGGTCTAAAATGTTCTGAGATTATAATAATGTATTCTGGTACACAGAATACATCTTACATACTTAATCTCACCTTGTATTATTTGTAAAAAAAAGAAAATATGCAGAACGCAACAGTTATGACTATTACCATTTATTTTTGGTACATTAAAAATATAGTTTTTTATTAAAACAAATTTTGCGTTTAGAAACTGATTTACAAAATAAAAAAAAATCGGATTTCATATTTGGCATTTTACCTACATTATTGCAAGTCACCCAATTAATTAAGTATTCGTGCAGTGAAACAAATAGTTTTGAAATAAATTACCAGGTGACCTTAATTGATATTTATAAATGTGTACTACTATAATATAGTCTGAGCATACATATAATATTATTTAATTCGTTTTCAATCATGATAATTATGGTACAAAATATTGGAAAAAACATATTCATAGTGAACCACTTGTTAATTTAGGGAATTGAAAGTTAATTCATAATTTTTCAAATAATAAATAGTGCATTATGATTTATGGATATATTTTATTCTAAAAGTTTTGTACTAAAATTGTCAAGTTTAAAAAATTAATATGTAAGTTTGTGTGTATTTTAACAATTACTTTATGAAGACATAACAGAGCAACTTGCCTCATTACATTAGTTTGCTATCAATAGCAAATTAAAAAAAAAAGAAACAATTCAAATGTATACGATTTTTACTGTCTTTTAACAAAAAAGATACGATTACCTCTTTCTCCTTATCGTCGTTGGCAACACTTAGAATTACTAAGTAATTCATTAGGAAAGTCATATAAACATTATGTATTTTGCGTTCATTGTTTCTTCTTTATAGACTTGAATCGAACGAAACAAAACAAAATTGCTTAATAATGCTATACAGTACTTGGTTTCAGAGTGAATTTTCGAAGAATAACACGTATATAAACATATTATATTAATGGTATTTTATCGGAACATATGTTATTAATACACAATCGCTCAGGGTCACAACTTGATCTAGTTATCACAAATGTTTTAATGTTAAAAGTTACTTCTGAAACTAACTTACTAATATCCTTAGATATTATGTATCATCCTGCATTAGTAGTTGAATATCTATTTTATTAGTTCTTTCTAGTCTGTGCCGTAAAGAATATTACTTATGCAACCTTTGAAATTAAATAGAGATGTAAAAAAAAACAAATTGCAATGCCTTCATTAAAACTGTAGGGGTGGTGAAACGAAATGTTGTGTAAACAAATGCAATAAAAAATATTCACACAAGTTGATGTCACCCAAAAAATTAAAAGTATTTGAAAAAACTCACTATGATTGTACTAGTAGTTAAAATACAAGACTCAGGATATTTAAAAATCTTTACGTTATATTTCGGTACACAATTTCAAAAAAAAAAAACATAAATTATTTTTACCAATTCTTCCTTAGTTCTTAAAATGTTTTCATTTCACTAATTTGATTAGTTAATGACCGGATATACAATAACTAGACTTTATATTTCATAACAGATTACGAGTACATAAACTTTACGAACTAAGATTATTATTACTGGCAGTTGGCACGACCGTTTAAACATGTCTACGAAATATTTTTGGGCGGCCATATTCTGTGTATCTTAATTCTCAAACTACAATACACTTTTCCATGTCCTGGTATTTTCAATGCATGTTTCGTGACAAATGAAAACCACAATAATACATTTATTAGTATCATTACTTTTTTTATCACTCAAATGACCTACCGTATTATATCAAAATGCTCTCCAAAATTTACCGCCCGAGTCCCAAGCCCCCCCTGCTCCCCCCCCCTAAATACGTCTCTGCTAATAGGTATTCGTCATTGGTTTACAATTTATTTAATAAATGGTTTTACAAATAAATCCTTATAACTAAGTTATATTTATAAAACATGTACAATACATAACTGTACAAAACATGTATTCGTTACAATTATTATACAGTATCTGATCAATTAATACCCACATATCGGTGTACAGCTATCAACAACAATCTAATGTACACAAATTGATCATTTAAACAGTACATTTATACAGAAAAATCTGTGCCTTTGTCTCGACCACACTAGGCTGGCTTCTTTAACCCATTATTGATTATTTTTACAAAACATGTGTAAATCCAATTTTAAATGCAAAATGTACGAATTTCTGTTACATGTTTGAAATATTATGAAATATTACATGTTTGTCTTATTAGAATTTGCAAGGTACAAAGCAATTTCGTTCAGACTTTTGTCTTTTTGTGTGCACACACGCTATCGAAGGATTTGTGCACACAGATGTTCTTTTTTTATCTGCTACACTGTTAGATTGCTTTTCAGACTCGATCATAGTTTAAAAAATAATAATTCCCGCTTGCAAATATTTTAGCTGGGCTATGATATTGTAATCATATGCAACTTATATGAATACACAATCGCTCAGGGTCACAACTTGATCTAGTTATTACAAATGTTTTTAATGTTACTTCTGAAACTTACTCACTAATACTAATATTAGTCCTTAGATTATATTATGAGTCGTCCTGCATTAGTCGTTGAATTTCTATTTTATTAGTTCTTCTAGTCTATGCTATAACTCGCATTACTGCCGTTTGTCAATTTAGTGTACATTTTTAGTTGAATTATAATGTCTGAATTAAATTTAATAACTGGCCAACGAGGCAATTTATTAGTTTTATTTAATAATTGTAAATACATCTAGGATATTACTTAGTTATTTTTAGTCTATGCAGTAAGTCGCATTACTTATGCTGCTTTTGAAAATAAAAGGAGATGTAATAAAAAAAATTGCAATGCCTTCATTAATACTGTAGGGGTGGTGAAGCGAAATGTTGTGTAAACAAATGCATTTAAAAATATTCACATTAGTTGATGTCATCCAAAAAAATGAGAGTATTAGATAAGACTCACTATAATTGTACTAACAGACAAAATATAAGAATCGGAATGTTTAGAAATCTTTTTGTTACATTTCGGTACACAATTTAAAAAAAAACATAAATTATTATTAAAATTACTTACTCAGTTCTTAAAATTTGTTTTATTTAATTACTTGATTAGTTAAGGACCGGATATACAATAACTAGACTTTATATTTTATATATTATAGTTTTATTGAACAAAAAACATTTTCTTTACCAATTGGCAATTATTTCACGTTTTGATTTTTAGTCTTCATATACGATAACTGTTTATTCATGCATGTTCCATAGTCTTGGTCATTGCAACAACAAATTTTCCAACTAATTTTCCCAAAGTGTTCTACACTTATGCCTTCTAAAACAATACAAAAACGAATAGTTTTAATATACATATTACTTGTTGTAGAGTGTGTAGGTACAGTAGTTGCAGAGTTGGCCACAAAACAACTGCCTAAAACTTGGTGCCTCGAAACCAAAGAAAACTAATATTATACGATAAAGGTAATATATTTTATAATTACTTTCTTTTATAGTGGCAATATCCGCTGGAGATAAATAAGTTTCTACGTTATAATCTGTGTTACTCCAAAGCACGTGTAATGCATGCACAGAAAGATTCTCTTCGGTAACAAGTTCGAAAAACTTTCTTAATTCGTTGTACACGTTTAGTGTTAGCAGAGAAAATGTCGAAAGCTGTCATCAAAAATCACTAGGTTAAGACAACTTGATATTATAAAGTTTATGTCGATTTATGCGTAAAACCATTAACAAGGTTTTGAAAAAAAAAAATTCAACTATTGGTCTAAAATGTTCTGAGATTATCATTATGTATTCTGGTTCGCCTTACATATAAAATCTTACATACTTCATCTCAACTTGTATTATTTGGAAAAAAAATATACAGTAATGACTCTAATCATTTTTTCCCCCTATTAACATTAAAGTATAGTTTTTTATTTAAAAAAATTTTGCCTTTAGAAACTGATTAACAAAATAAAAAAACGCCGGATTTCATATTTTGCATTTTACCTACATTATTGTAAGTTACTCAATTAATTAAGTACTCTTACATTAAAACAAATAGTTTTAAAATAATTACTACATGACCTAAATATATTTAAAAACTTTAATACTATATAGTAGAACACATATAAAATTATTGAATTTGTTGTCAAACATGATAATTTTAGTACAAAATGTTTACAAAAAATATACTCATAATGAACCAATTATAAAATTTGGGAATTGAAAGAAATTCATACATTTTCAAATAATAAATGGTGCATTATGATTTATGCATCTATTTTTTCTAATAGTTTTGTACTAACATGTTTAAGTTTGAAAATTTATATGTATGTTTGTGAGTATTCTAACAATTATTTTATAAAGACACAACAGATCAACTTGCCTATTACATTAGTTTACACAATCGCTCAGGATCACGACTTGATCTAGTTATCACAAATGTTTTTAATGTTCAATGTTTCATTAGATTGTATGTATCATCCTTTATTAGTCGTTGAAGTTTTATTTTATTAGTTATTTCTAGTCAAGCGTAACTCGCATTACAGCTGAATGTCAATTTAGTGTAAATTTTTGGTTGAACTATAATGTCTGAATTAAATTTATTAACTGGCCATTTCGTTAGTATTACATAATAACTGTGAACAACAAGAATATTACTTATGCAACCTTCAAAGTTCAATGGAGATGAAATAAAAAAAATTTGCAATGCCTTCTTTAAAACTGTAGATGTAGAAAAACGAAATGTTGTGTAAACAAATGCAATAAAAAATATTCACATAAGTTGATGTAATCCGCAAAATTAAAAGTTTTAGATGTAGTTAAGGACCGGATATACAATAACTAGACTACATATTTTATATACTATAGTTTTGTTGGAAAAAAACATTTTCTTTACCATTTGGCATCTAATACGTTCATCAGCATTCATCATGTTTTGATTTTGGGTCTGCATAAACGATAACCGTTTTGTAAGCAAATGCAATCAAAAATATTCACACAAGTTGATGTAATCCAAAAAATTAAAAGTATTAGAATTAGTTAAGGACCGGATATACAATAACTAGACTACATATTTTCAATATTATAGTTTTATTGAAAAAAAAAATTTTCTTTACCGTTTGGCATCTATCACGTTCATCAGCATCTATCACGTTTTGAATTTTAGTCTTCATAGACAATAATCGTTGATTCATACATGTTTCATAGTCTTGGTCATTTCTTTTACAAATTTCCCAGTTAATTTTCCCAAAGTGATCTACACTTATGCCTTCTAAAACAATATAAAAACGAATAATTTTAATATACATATTATATTGTTATAGAGTGTGTAGGTACAGTAGTTGCAGAGTTGGCCAGAAAACAACTGCCTAAAACTTGGTGCCTCAAAACCAAAGAAAACTAATATTATGCGATAAAGGTAATATATTTTATAATTACTTTCTTTCATAGTGGCAATATCTGCTAGAGATAAATAAGTTTCTACGTTATAATCTGTGTCACTCCAAAGCACGACTAATGCATGCTCAAAAAGATTGTCTTCAGTATCAAGTTCGAAAAACTTTCTTAATTCGTTGTACACGTTTAGTGTTAGCGGATAAAATCTCGAAAGCTGTCATTAAAAATCATTAGGTTAGGACAACGTGATATTATAAAGTTTATGTCGATTTTTGCGTTATAATAAAATGTTCTGAGATTATAATAATGTATTCTGGTACACAGAATACATCTTACATACTTAATCTCACCTTGTATTATTTGTAAAAAAAAATATGCAGAACACAACAAAATTTTTGCTTTTAAAAACCGATTTGCAAAATAAAAAAACGTAGCATTTCATATTTTGCAGTTTACCTACATTATTGTAAGTTACCCAATTAATTAAGTATTCGTGCAGTAAAACAAATATTTTAAAAAAAAATTACTTGATGACCTAAAGATATTTAAAAATTGTAATACTATATAATTGATCAAATATAATATTATTTAAACAATACAAACATGATAATTTAAATTAAAAAATATATTCATAATGAACCACTTATTAATTTAGGGAATTGAAAGAAATTCATAATTTTTCGAATAATAAATAGTGCATTATGATTTATGGATATATTTTATTCTAAAAGTTTTGTACTAAAATTGTCAAGTTTAAAAAATTAATATGTAAGTTTGTGTGAATTTTATCAATTACTTTATGAAGACATAACAGAGCAACTTGCCTATTACATTAGTTTGCTGTCAATAGCAATATTAAAAAAAAGAAACAATTCAAATTTATAAGATTTATACTGTCTTTTAACAAAAAAGATACGATTACCTCTTTCTTCTTATCGTCGTTGGCAACACTTAGAATTGCTAAGTAATTCATTGCAAAACATATAAATATTATGTATTTTGCGTTCATTGTTTCTTCTTTAAAGACTTAAATCGAACGAAACAAAACAAAATTGCTTAATAATGCTGTACAGTACTTGGTCTCAGAGTGAATTTTCTAAGAATAACACGTATATACACATATTATAATAATGCTTATTTATTGTAACATATGTTATTGACGATTAAGTAGATTGTTTTTGTACAATACTTGGTTGTTGTGAACATAATATCTTGCGAACAAACAAAATACGGTCTTTATTTTGATCGAATAATATTTTTTTTGGTTAAAAAATGTTTTACAACGATGGATTTTTTTTACTGTCCGTAGCATTATAATTAGTTTTGCAAAACTAATGTGATATCAAGTAAAATATCTTGATCACAAATCGTAAAACATTTTCTTTTAAATTTGGGGAGGAAAAAATAACCCCGTTATTTGGTTTTGACTGAAATGTGGTTTTTACAATAAAATGGTAATTTTTTCATTATTTTATCTGGACACAAAATATTTTCCAAACTAGATTTTTGGTGTATGAGGAAGAACAATTATTGACCATTGCAATTACTTTATCCTACATTCAAAAGTCTACATCTCTCATAGTTCAAATGGAATTTGGCCTATCAAATTCTGTATTATTTTATAAAATCTATAAGTGGATTTTGGTAGTTTCACCAATTTAGCAAACCTAAATTAAGCTTAAATAGTTTAAGACACTGTTTAAAATTTAGTATTGCAGTTTTAAAGTTTCAGAACTCCAAAAAGATTTGGAGATTTAGTATAAGATAACGCACAAAATAATTCAATTTATTAATCTAAATTAAAAAAAAATTGGCGACTGATGATGACAGGTTTTGCCCGCAGCCCTTCAAATATTTATTGAGGTGTTTTTTAGCTTCGATGCGGAGCTATATTACGGTGTTGTTTTTACAATGACGTCTTTTTACATATTTTTTCAATTTTTTTGTATTTACTTAACCGCATTTTCACGTAGCAAGCATATAGTTTGAAATCGTAGCTACCCGGCTTTGGAATACAAATAAGATGGTCTGCTATATTATACACGGGTGTCGCCAGTAATTATTTATAAGACAAAATATTGTAATTTTATAGTATTTAATCTTAGCGCACGACAGTGCGCCAGGCCAAGATCCAGCAATGTCAGTGTATCTTTGCACGAACCAATTCTCCCAGTTTTTCTAACCCACATATCCCTGTTTACTCTTAAGATAATCTTTTGAAATTTGAAACATAGATTAAGCTCAAGTAGCTCAAGATACTGTAAAAATGTGAGCCCTTAATAGTAAGCCTATTCAAAAGTTTTCATTTTTGTTATTGACTCACTCACTCAGTCATCATCAAAATTATAAGACATTTCCCGTATAGGTAGAAACGTGAAATTTGGCACAAATGTGGGTCTTGTAGTGTAAGCAAAGGAAAAAATCTGAAAAATGCAAATTTTTCAAAATTAATGCGCTAGGTGGGGCATTAATCTAAGACGTACAATATCCATTCAATGCCTCGTTTATAAAAAAAACTTTGCCTACGACACTGATGCCCGCAAAAAGGAATGATATCCCCAACAAAAACTTAACAGTAAAAAAAAAGCGAAGTTTCAGACCCCCTCCCAAAAATGTCAGGCACCTGACAAATGCTTAATTCAGAAACTGGTCAAGTGTTAATCAATACAAATAAAAGAGCAACACTGCTCATGAAAGTAGGAGTGAAGTGTGGTTATAAACTAAAAAAATAGCAGACTTGGCGACAATGTAGATATCTCTACTTTAATAGGCTGTCTTTTTTTGGGAGGGGGTCTGGAACTTGGCCTTTTTTCACTTTTAGGTTTTTGTTGGGGATTGGTTTAACAATAATGTGGGCTTTTTTTTTGTCTGTATACACTGTAACTTTTTTAATACTGGACAATTCCTTCGAGTAGCAACTCTATAAATCAAAAGTTTCATCTGGTTGGTACTTTGTTAGGGATAGAAGTTGAAAAAGATTACTCAGTCACAGTTAAAATTAAAAAAGAAACCACGTGAGTTTTAAAATTTGATCTTTTACCGGCTATAATGTCGAGAAAAAGAGTCGGATCGAGTTGAAATTTGTAAGGAATTTTTTTTTTGCATGCCCCCACACGTCAGTAGTCTCAAATTTAAATTATACTCATTTTCCATCTCCCTAGAAGGGGTGCATGTTTTTTTATTTTTGAAATCCTTAAGGTTGAAAATTTGTCAGTTTTTAGGACTGAAATTTTAGGATTAAAATGATATTAAACGGAGAACAAATTCGAGACTACAATTTTACTTTAATTGCCAGAAAACTGTGCTTTTCCCAGATTTCGTATACGTTAACATATACACCTGAAATCTTAAAAAAATTCTATAAAATTATTACGAATCATTCAGAAAGATAGTATTAAGTTTTCATACTCAAATGCCATTTTAGGTTTTAATTTCATTTTTTTATTTTACTTAGTTTTTTCTGGTTGAGTAAAATTAAAACCTGATATTAAATTCGCAAACACCGACCCCAAAATCATATAATTTGACCACTTATGAAGTCTTTTACACAAAAATCTAGAAAAATGTTTTAGCTTCGATGCAAGGCAGAGATGCTATTGGTTTTACAATGATGTGGACTTTTTTTTACGTAACACATACACATTTAAACTTAAAATAACATCGAATGATGGACAGCCACCTCCGTGATTTCGTGTGATAAGTGTCTTAAATTAAGTTTAATATAAAGTTGTTCTACTATGAGAAAAATCCAATTTTTAAATTAATAATTTTTGATGTTGAAACAATTCCCATCACTTGTATAGTTGTATCCAATTATGGACAAAATATAAATTATAATTGATTTTAAAAAACAACTGGGATGTTTTGGATTAATTGTTTCGGTTTTTATGGACAATATTACTGTGACTATTTTTAAAGTTTTAAGAGTTTAGAGTAAGGTTGGGAGGGGAAGTGCGGTTGGGAAATGCGCGTAGATAAAACTAATACTGCACTTTCCTCCTACAGACTACAAGTTGGTACTTCGGGTGGGTAAAAGTTGAAAAAGTTTACTTCTTCACAATTAAAATTTGAAGAAAAAAAACCATTCGAATTTTTAAGTTAGAACTTTTACTCATTTCCCATACCCCTAAGAAGGAGCAAGTATTTTTTTTTTTTGGATTTTTCAGCCGTAATTTGAGGGCCTTTAATTTGAAAATTAGTCAATTTTTAGGACTCACGAAACAACTGGTTTTCTTTAATTTTCGGAAAACTGTGTTTTGCCAAACTTTGTATATTTCAACAAAGACACCTAAAATCTTAATAAGTTTTTTATCAATTCATTACAACATAATAATATAAATAATGATATTTCACCCTTTTAGTCATAAAAATACAAGCAGATCCATTATAAGTTTATAATGACTTGCGTTATAAAGTTTATTTCAACCTTATGTTTACACAAATTGTTAACGATTTATTTTCTTACATTATAATATACAATATTTTTTCAACTATTGCTATAATTTTATTTTCTATCTTATCGAAAATTACTATTACAGAAATATAATAGTTTTTTTTCGTAAACAAGTTAGTTTTAAAAGTAATTTGTTATGACATTTGTGTACTTCAATGTTTGAACTGTTTATTTTCTTGCTTTGAAGAACCACGTATCATAAAAAAATACTCAAAATACAAAAAAAAAAACGTGAAAATTAAAAGCTAAAATATCACAGCACCCAATTATATTATAAAAGTAATTATAATTTAGGTATTGTACATTATTGGACATCGACAAAAGTAGGAATTACAATCTAATTTGAAATGTATATTATTATACAACTATTCGAATATTCAAATCTTTAAAACTAATATATATATATATATATATAATTGTTAAAAGATCAAGATGCTACCATGAAGAAATTAAATAGGTTAAACATTTTATTACAAAATGAACTGCAAAACAAAATATGTTAAGAAAAACAACTCGTTTTTGATAAAAAAAAATAAGTAATAAAACCATACAAATTGTTTTTGTAAAATACGAAGATTCTTATAATATTCAAAGTGTATAATACCTATAGGAACTTACTATTTGTTTACATTACAACCGTCACTGTAAAAAACACTTTGGTTTTGATAAAAAATACAACAATACAATATTGGGTTACAATTTACACGATAAATAATTTTACAAAAACTCCTTATGATAAGTTATAGTTGAAGGGGTCCGTGCAAAAACGAGACAACTCCATTTTTTTTAACTTTTCAAGAAACAAAAAAAACTATTTTAAAAATATTGAGTTTAAGGTAAAACTAATGTTAATATCAATTAATATATATTAGACCATGATGAAAAAGATGACGTAGTACGTGATTCGATTAAGGTTTTTGATTTGAGATGTGAGCTAAAATTAACCCAAAATTGTTGGAGCTATCTTGTTTTTTGACCCGAACTTTGTATTTATTATTTCAATTTTTTTTTTTTATCAAAAAATTATTAATATTATTTATTCTTACTTTAAGACAACTGATTTTAGTGTAGACAACATTCGGCGCAAAAACCAGATAACTCCGGAGCTATCTGGTTTTTCAATGGAAAAAAAATACCAGACAACTCCAGTTCCATTATATTTCCTATACCGGTGGTCTGATTTGTCTCGTTCTTACACAGATATACTCGTCAAATTTTGCTTAATTGGAAACGGCCAAAACCCCATTTTCGCCAAAATTGGAGTTGTCTCGTTTTTGCACGGACCCCTTCAATTATAAAACATTTCCGATTTAGGAAAATGCAATACATTAACCATATGCAAATTTTAAAAAATGGGTACTCGCCGCCACAGTTATTATATATCAAAAACGCTCTACAAAGCTTCAAACACAAGCATCAAAACAAAACTTATTACAAAAAACAGTTCGTATTTTCATTTGTTTACACTGCCTCAATCGAAGCAGATACCAATTTAATTTCAATTAAATAAAAATATACAAATTGTTTTGTAAAAATTGACAATTCCTATTATGTTAAAACATAATAGATTATAAACAAATTAAACAAATGCTCTAATTAATGTAAATCTAGACTTTGTACGGTGAATGTAAAAGACGTTATAATTGAAATTTAAAAATTACAATAAAAATAAAGTGAAATACATAATATTAAAAATATTTTGTTTTTTCATTTGTGTACCTAAATGTATATACCATTCATGTTCTCGCATTTTAGAACATTGATGTTACCCTGATAAATTTTTAAATTTCCATTTAATATTTATTATAAATAACGAACATTATACTACCACTTTTTCGTAAACATCTTGAAATAATAAACATAAAATTACAAATAAAATGTTTACTGATTTGGGAAATATGTATTTCATCAAAAAGTGTTAAGAAATTAGTATGACCCGTTTATTATATTCTGTGCTGTAGTCACTAATCATAGTAATGGAGCTCATAAAAACCAAGCTGCAAATCTAAAGTATAGCAAATTCCTAGTTGTATTTTAAAATCAAATAAAATTTATATTTTGTCCGTTAGTGGATATAACTATGTAAGTGATGGGAATTGTACGAATATCAATAATTAGTAATTTATAAAGCCAGTATCTTAGAATGTTTATAAAATCTGTTAATGTTTAAAAATCTTTTCGTTACATTGCGGTACACTATTTAAAAAAGAAAAAAACCTAAAATTATTATTACAAATCCTTACTCAGTTCGTAACATTTTCTTAATAATTAGATTTATAATTAGATTAATAAGGACCGGATACAATAACTAGACTACATATTTCATATAATATAGTTGTTATTTAAAAAACAAAAAAACGTTTTATTTTACAAACAAAAACAGTTTATTCATAAATTTTACAAAGTCTTGGTCCTTGTCTTTGCAAATTTTCTTGGTGATTTTCTCAAATTGTTCTAAATCTATGCCGTCTAAAACGATACAAAAAAGAACAATAATTATAATATACCTACATATTGTTTGTTATAGAGTGTAAATAGTTGTTGCAGTGTTGTCCAGATACCTTGATTCATTCGTGCCAGTTCATCGGGTGAGAAATTAGCTCTCATAGTTTCACCGTTGTCGTGCCAAATCATGTTCATTTCATTCACATGAATTTTAGTAGCAGTAATAAAATCTAATCCATCTAATAATCCATTGAAAACGGATTTTATAAGCTGAAAAAATGTAGAAGCCTGCCATCTAGGTTAATACAACGTAATACCTTAAAATCTATGTCGATTTAAGCGTTATAACAATTAACAAGATTTAAAAAAAAAAAAATTCTACAATTAGTCTAAAATCTTTTGAGATTATATTATTATATTCTAGTTCGCCTTACATATAAAATCTTACATATCCCATCACACGTTGTATTATATGTGAAAAAAAAAATAAGCAGAACGCAACAGTAATGACTCTAATAACTTTTTTTTCATATAAACATTATAAATATAGTTTTTTATTTTAAAAAATGTTGGCTTTAGAAACTGATTTACAAAACATAAAAAAAAACTTCGGGTTTCACATTTTGCATATTACCTACATTAAATAGTTACTCAATTAATTAAGCATATTTTTAGAAATAATATATTTATTAATTTACTTATTAATTTAGGGAATTGAAAGAAATTCATAATTTTTCAAATAATAAAGAGTGCATTATGATTTATGGATATATTTTATTCTAAAAGTTTTGTACTAAAATTGTCAAGTTTAAAAAATTAATATGAAAGTTTGTGTGTATTTTATCAATTACTTTATGAAGACATAACAGAGAAACTTGCCTATTACATTAGTTTGCTATCAATAGCAATATTAAAAAAAAAAAGAAACAATTCAAATTTATAAGATTTTTACTGTCTTTTAACAAAAAAGATACGATTACCTCTTTCTCCTTATCGTCGTTGGCAACACTTAGAATTACTAAGTAATTCATTGCAAAACATATAAATATTATGTATTTTGCGTTCATTGTTTCTTCTTTAAAGACTTAAATCGAACGAAACAAAACAAAATTGCTTAATAATGCTATACAGTACTTGGTTTCAGAGTGAATTTTCGAAGAATAACAAGTATATACACATATTATAATAATGGTATTTTATCGGAACATATGTTATTGACGATTAAGTAGGTTGTTTTTGTACAATAGTTGTTTTTAGTGAACATTATATTTTGCGAACAAACAAAATATACGGTCTTTATTTTGATAGTTTATTTTGAGTCTGTAGCATTATAATTAGTTTTTCAAAACTAATGTAATATCTAGTAAAATATCTTGATCACAAATCGTAAAACATTTTCTTTTAAATTTGGGGGGAAAAAAATAACCCCGTTATTTGGTTTTGACTGAAATGTTGTTTTTACAATAATACGTTATGTTTTTTCATTATTTTGTCTGGACACAAAATATTACCCAAAAGTAGATTTTTGGTGTACTAGGCAGAGCAGTTATTGACCATTACAATTACTTTATCCTAAATTCAAAAGTCTATATCTTTCATTATTGAAATGGAAATTGGCTTATCAAGTTCTATATTTCTTTTAAAAATCTACATGTTGATTTAGGTAGTTAATACATTTACCAAATATCACCCTGGTCGTTTTAATAAATACCAATAATACCTATTGATTTAACTAGTACCTAAATCACTGCTTCTTACGGCTTTAATGTATCTCATGTCCCCCCTTATGCACATCACCCTTGGATGTTTTATCAAGCTTTGTCTTAACTTAATAAAAAGTTTAATCCCTAACGGTGACCTGATTGGTTCTACTTTTCTGTTTCAAGTATCATTATCAACTTGTTTATTTTTTGCTTCACTACAAAGTGTAGTTTATGTACATATGTACATTATATGTATATAAATTATGTATATATCTACGTAGTTAATATAATAACACTTAAAAAAAGAGAAAATCTACGACGTTCAATATCCATTGAATGCCTCGTTTAAAAGAAAACTTCGCCTACGACACTGATGCCCGCAAAAAGGAATGATATCCCCAACAAAAACTTAACAGTGAAAAACGTCGAAGTTCCAGACCCCCTTCCAAAAATGTCAGGCAGCTGACAAATGCTTAATTCAGAAACTGGTCAAGTGTTAATCAATACAAATAAAAGATCAACACTGCTCATGAAAGTAGGAGTGAAGCGTGGTTATGAATTAAAAAAATAGCAGATTATGCCTTTCTTCTACACTTCCGTACTGCTACACTGTTGAGTGTTTTTCAGACACGATTCTAGTTTAAAAAATAACAATTTTCGCTTGCAAATATTTTAGCTGGGCTATGGTATTGAAATCATATGCAACTTATACGAATACACAATCGTTCAGGGTCAACTGCTGAGGGACAATTAAGTGTACATCTTCAGTTGAATTATAATGTCTTATAAATTGTATAACTGGCCAGCGAGGCCAGTTGTAAATACAACAATAATAACTTTTGAAAATAAATGGCGATGTAATAACAAAAATTGCAATGCCTTCATTTAACTGTAGGTGTAAGGAAACGAAATGTTGTGTAAACAAATGCAAACGAAAATATGCACATTAGATCATCATCCGAAAAATTAAAAGTATAGGATTGTACTAACACAATACATGACTCAGAATGTTTAAAAATCTTTTTGTTACATTTCGGTACACAATTAAAAGAATCTAATCAGCTAATACCCACATCCCGGTGTACAGCTTTCAACAACAATCTAATCTACATAAATTCCATTGAGAAATTTACACAAAAGGGTCAGAAAGGCATCCTTTTATATTGTTTGTGCGTGTTCCTCCACCTGCTTTATCACCGTAGTCCGGATTACCACGGACCAGGTGACAGGTGTAAAACCGTTATATTTATATTTATACGAATTGGTTTTTAGTCATTTAAACGTTTAAATAAATAACTTAATTTTTACTCGGCGTTAAACCTCTTTAGGTAAATAATATTGTACGATGCAATTTGAGAGTTTAGTTAATTCACTTAAAGGTACGACCGACCTTTTCCCCTTCCTTTTGGGCGGTTTTATACATTTATAAAGAGTCTCTAGGGATATTTTATGGTAGATACTGGGTAACTTCCTGTCCCGGTTAGAGTCCCTTAATTTAGCCCTAGAAGGCGGACAGTCGTGGGCGTGAGCGACTCACTGCACGCCACCGTAACACTATCATACGATATGTGCACACAGACGTTTTTTTTAACTGTTACACTGTTGATTGTTTTTCAGACAAAAAATAACAATGCCCGCTTGCAAATGTTTTAGCTGGGCTACGGTATTGTAATCATATGCAACTTATACGAATACACAATCGTTCAGGGTCACAGCTTGATCTAGTTATCACAAATGTTCTTAATGTTAAATGTTACTTCTGAAAGTAACTCACTAATACCTTTAGATTATATATAAATATCATCCTGCATTAGTCGTTGAATTTATATTTTATTAGTTATTTCTAGTCCACGCTGTGAGTCGCATTATTGCTGAGGGACAATTAAGTGTACATTTTCAGCTGAATTATAATGTCTGAATTCAATTTTATAACTGGCCAAGGAGGCCAATTGTTAATACAACAATTATATTGCCCATGTAACTTTTGAAATTAAATGGAGAAGTAATAAAAAAAAAATTGCAATGTCTTCATTTGAACTATAGGTGTAAAGAAACGAAATATTGTATAAACAAATACAAACAAAAATATGCACATTAGATCATAATCCGAAAATTTAAAAGTATTAGAAAGAGCTCACTATGATAAATGATTGTACTAATACAGTACAAGATTCAGAATGTTTAAAATCTTTTCGTTACATCTCGGTACACAATTAAAAAAAAAAAACTCTTAGTACAAATTTTTACTCAGTTCTTAACATTTTCTTAATTTAATAATTTGATTAAAAAAGACCGGATACAATAACTAGACTACATAATTCATATACAATAGTTTTTATTTAAAAAACAAAAAAACAATTTCTTTTACAATCTTGGAGCTTGCTTAATTGGTTTGTTTTGGGCTTTTATAAACAAAAACCGTTCAGTCATGGATTTTACATAGTCTGTTTTGTAAATTTTCCTAGTGATTTCCTCAAATCTTTTTATATCTATGCCCTCTAAAACAGATACAAAAACGAACAAAAATTATAATATTCCTACTTATTATATTGTTATAGAGTGTAAACAGTAGTAATTGCAGAGTAGCCCAGAAACCAACTGTAACAAAACTTGGTGCCTCGAAACCAAGGAAAACTATTACTACACAATAGAGTTAATATATTTTATGATTACCTCGATCCATTCGTATCAATTCATCGGGTGTGAAATTAGCTTTCATAGTTGCACCTTTGTCACGCCAAAGCTTGGTTAATTTTTTCACATACATTTTCTGAAGTTTAGGACCTTTTAAGATGTCTAATAATTCATCGAAAACTGCTTGTATAACCTGAAAAATTGTCCAAGCCTGTCGTTAAAAATGTCTAGGTTAATACAACGTAATATTTTAAAATCTATGTCGATTTAAGCGTTATTAATTAACAAGTTAAAAAAAAAAATTCAACTATTAATCAAAAACCTTCTGCGATTATATTATTTTATTCTAATTCGCCTTACATGTAAAATCTCACCTAGTATTATTTGTAAAAAAAAAAAATAAGCGGAACTCAGTAATGACAGAAATAATTTTTTTTTCATATCAATACTCATATCAATACTTTACATAAATTATTTACAAAAAAAAACGTCGGATTTCGCATTTTTGTAAGTTACTCAATAAATAAGCATTTGTACAGTGAAAAAAAAAGTTACAATAAAGGCTACTACAAAAAATAAAAATAATAATTACCAGCTGATTTTAATTGTATTTAAAAATGTTACTACTATTCAGTTATACAAAAAAAAAATATTTAATTCGTTTTCAAACATGATAATTGTAGTATAAAATTATTAGAAAAAAATGAAATCATAATGTACTTCTTATTAAATTAGGGAATTGAAAGTAATTTATAATTTTTTAAACAATAAATGATGCCTTATGATTTTTGAATATATTTTTTTCTAAAAGTTTTGTACTAAAATTGACAAGTTTAAAAATTAATATGTGTTTTCGTGTGTATTTTAACAATTATTTTATAAAGACATAACAGAGCAATTTGCCTATTAAATTAGTTTGCTATCAATAACAATATTAAAAAAAACTATTAAAATTTTTAAGGTTTATACTGTTAGCTCATTCATAACACTACATTACTTAACATTACTACTTCATACTTAACCTTATATAAGATTATTTAATTCATTTTCAAACATGATAATTATAGTATTAAAAAATATACTTTTAATGATCCTCTTATTAAATTAGCGAATAAAACGTAATTCATAATTTTTTAAATAATAAATGGTGCTTTATGACTTAAGCCCGTCATTAAAAATGTCTAGGTTAATACAATGTTATTTTTTAAAGTCTTCGTAAAAAAAATTCAACTAGTGGTCAAAACTCTTCTATGATTATATTATTATGTTCTACTTCGCCTTACATATAAAATCTCACATACTTCATATTTGTAAAAAAAAAAACCTGTACAGTGGGGTCGGGGCATAGTGGGGACGGAGCATAGTTGGGTCGGGGAATAGTGGGGACGGGGAGGTCACAGATTTACAGGAATTTTTAAATCTGAAAGTGATAAAATCACTTTCGAAAAAACGCTTCGATGCAAATCGGTAGTTAATATTTTCAAGCCAGTACAGTCCAAACCAAGCACAGTAGAAACCAGCAAAGTTAGAAAGTTTTAAATTAAGGTTCTGTATTTACAAATGAGCATCAAAGCGTTTATTTGAAAGCGATTTTATTCAATTTTATCACTTTTATTTATAATAATTCTTGTAGACCTGTGACCTCTCCGTTTCCTCATTGCTTTGATTACATTATGCCAATACTCTACTGTACTAGTCCTCTCGGATAAAATCACTTTCAAATTAACGCTTTGATGCTCATTTGTAAATACAGAACCTTCATTTAGGACTTTCTAACTTTGCTGGTTTACACTGTGCTTGGTTTG